AACATTCCGCAGTAGGTCGTATTGCAGAATATAAATCAAACTTTAAACTACTTTCAAGATCTGTCAAAATAAGTTTTTGATTTTCAAAGTCTAAAAGTTTTGATCTACGGTAATGTAACCTGATTTTGCAATTTCATATGGTTTTGAAAATTTATGACAATCAAATGTGATTATTTGTATTTCATGTTATTTGCTATGATTCAAATAAATAAAGAATTATATGGCATTTTTAGAGCAGTGTTGGCCTAGTGGCTTCAGCGTGCGACTCTCATCCCTGAGGTCGTAGGTTCGAACCCAACTGGGCACCAATGGACTTTCTGTCTACGTGCGCATTTAATATTCGCACGTAGTGAAAAAAAACGGTGAAGGAAAACATCGTGAGAAAACCGGCTTGCCTCAGACCCTAAAAGTCGACGGCGTGTGTCAGGCACAGGAGGTTGATCACCCATGCCTGTTAGTTGATGATGAAACAAATAGGAACAAAATCTGAGGCCCAGATCTTATATTAAACATGTGAAATCGTGTCTGTATGAAGTCTGGTTCCCCCTTAAAAGCGTGGACATAGAAATTCCAATGCGACAGAATATAGAAACCTCGCATTTTGATATCTAACAAATTGATTTTTTTCTTTAATAATCTTATTATAAACCACGCAAGAATAAAGCTACAAAACGACGCTAAATATTCTAGAAACCCGTAGAAACCCGAACAATTTGTCGCCTTTAACAGTTTCATACACCCACAAGCTTTCGTAATTCCCGTGCCATTTTCATTCGTGCGCAGACAAATGGCTAAATGCATACAGACATCAATTTGTTGTCCATAAAGCACAAATTGTCGGCAAATGTCGAAATATACAGACAATAACCACAAATTACAGCCCTTAGGTGCTAAAGTGATACCCCATTTTACGAGCTCGATTATCACTTTCTCTTTGGAGTGTTATCTTATTGCAAGTATATTACTGAAATAACGTGTTTACCATAATACGATGTAATAATATGATATAGAATAGCTGGTTGGTCCAGTGGGACTCACAAGCTCATGTATTCTAAAGCCTACTGACGATTTTTCTCTCTATATGCGCTATATGAACCGGGATACCAAAAAAAATTGTGTAAGGTACCGAAGACTGGTTGTCTTCGATTTAATTTGTATAAACTTCTATATTAATAATAATAACTTATTAACTTATGCTTCATTTAAGAATAAGTTAATAAGTTAAAACTCTTAATGTCTTAAGCCTTGTATCTTCCTTGTTTTTTTTATAGCTGCTAGTTTGTTTGTCATTCTCCTAATTTATAAATTTTGTGCTGTCATGTTTTGTCTTGCTTTACTTTGTATTGTATTTTTTATCAGATAAACTTTTTGTGGATATGTCCAATGTGTTTATTTTATGTTTTACTTTTATTTTATTTTTACTGTATAGAGATGTATTTGTTTAGTTTACGTAATAAGTAAATAAATAAATAAATAAATAAATTTATTCATTTATTACGTATAACAAACTTATTAAATAAATATAAAAATTGGATATATTTCACATGATACATTTTTAAATGTATCACTAGATCTGTTCTTTAGTCTGTGGTCGACGTAAGAACGATACAAGAGTAAAAAATGAAGTCGAGGTTTGTAAATTGAAGAAGTAGTTTAATGAATTCATTCACTTATTACCATACAGTACTAAGTGTTCTTGAACTTTAAAAGCTAATTCACGTCTAGATTCGCTCTGGCCCCGAGCCAGGCTAAAATACTACCTTGATCCAATTTCATTTGCAAATTGTTAGCATTTTATGCCTAAAGAGGCCAATCCTCATAAAACTTTCAGCTGACGGGTTCTACGCTAGTACTAAAGTGAAACCTCGAATAATCCTCTTGTTTCCTCGCCTTTTCCACAGAGAGCTATTGACCTATTTCCCGAAATCATCCCTACGGTTTTCCCACAAATATATTTGTTTGTTATCGCTCTATTAATATCACTAATTAACTATAAATGTGTTGAAGGAATTAATTATATTCGTATAATTTGCTAAATTTTAATTAAATACGCTAATTAATTTCTAAAAAGAATATCTAAATTTATTTGCAACTTTGCATTTTTTGTCTGCTTTTGGCAAAATATTCCTCATAACATAGAATAAATTTTGTATAAAGAAATGAATTAATAGATTATTTTATTTATGTTGCTATGATACTTACGTCCGGGATCTATCTACAATACCAGTCGTAATATTTCTGTATGGCGTACGAGTGGTGGATTTTTAATAGAAAAAAACAAGTGACAATCACTCTTACTCCTTATAAATCATCCACTAATATATAGTATGGAAACATCAAAAATTAAGTTGTGTCCTAAGCTGAACTTGATTGATATGACTTGAGGAAACATTTTTTAAAATATTCCTGATTTAATTGTTTCTTGTTTAAGGTATCTGAGGCGGTACACATATCTGATCCAGCCCATTCTGCGGAGCTCCTCGCCCGATTGCATAATAACGTAAGTCGATACTACCCAAGTACGAATTGCCCGGGATCTGAGCTTTCTTGTCCTAATTAACCGAATTATAAAGGGGAAAATCCTGAATTAGTTTTCGTTTATTTAGTGTTGTTAACCTAATTATTATTTTGCTGTTCAAATGAGCCTATTTCCTGTTCCGATTATTTGAATTAGAATAGCTAAATATTTTCATGTATAAATTTTAAAGTTTAAGTACCGTTAAACGATATCTATAGGACAATGATTTTTATATCGATACTGTTAAAAATAATACTTTATTGAAACAAAACGTGAGTTAAGATCTTATTCTTTAAAATTCTAGGAATTTATCTTATGTTGATATTAAATTTAATCTTACAACTCGTTATCAAAGCAAACAAAATATCCGGCCAACGCTGGATTAGTGACCTGAGGTCAGGGTCACACATTGTTCCATTTATGAATACCGCATTGGAGTTAATTTTTTTTATTAGAATTTAAATTGGTACAACATGGTCAAAATATTGAGTCGAAAAAGCTGGACTTTATGGAAATTTACAAGGAAGTAATTGTAATGGTATTGTTTCAATTCAACGTTTCATTCAATCAATCATTTTAAGCATTTTTTCATCAAACTAATAAAATAAATAATTCTAAGAGTTTCGAACACTATTTTAAATACCTATACCCATAAAAAACTTACCAAATTATCTTTAATTGGTAAGAGCAGACATTTTTTTTTGTTCCGAACCATTCCAAACTAACAAATTTTCCTTTAAAACTTATAGACGATATGGCACCGATATGGTTTTAAACCTGCTAATGACAGGACAAACATACCAGATTCACACCGACTTCATGCCACATTCCTGACAGTACACCCCATTTCCTGTTTATTAAAAAAAACTGAAACTGTGTTTACATTTCAGATTCTCAGTAAAACTATTAAACCCTGTATGGAAAAGTTAAATTTAACATAATTATAAACACGTTAATCATCAGGTTTTATGAAGCTGTCTTTTCAAAACGTTGATAAACGCAAACATTTTAAACATTATCCTCAAACTCAACTCTCATGTTAGATTTAATTAAAGTCACATTACAATCTACAAGGTATCGGGCACATTATATGTTGTAATTAAAACTCATTATTTTAAAAAAAATTGCGTTTCGTTGCGTTTTTTTATTCAGTAACAACAGATTTTTGCCTTTAGTATCTTTGTTTTTTAGCAAATAAATATTTACAACATCAAGATTCAAGACCATATCATATATATATAACATATCTATATATATATATATATATATATATCTATATATATATCATATATATAGAATATATAAACATAAATAATAGTGATATACCTAAGCATGTAAAACTTTAGGAAAAATTGTGTTTCAAAGCAAACAAAATACCGAAACACGGGACAACATTTTTCTCAATGAATTTTGTAACCTAAGATTTAATTGAATGTACACGTTAGCTTATAGTTCCTTTTGATAACATTTACATTTTCTGAAGGATTGACACGTGTCGAAATACGGCTGTTTGGTATCCAGTTTTAGAATTGTTTACGGCAACTACGGAAGCCGTATTCCCTTTAATTCGAAAGCCGTAATTCATTACGCAGTTTAAGGTAATGAAAGAGAATAGTTTTTTAGACGACAAAGGTGATAAATGTGCATTTTCTCTCTCCCTGATATCATGAGTTCAATCGGGCTGAGTACTGTCTTTTTATACAATTAACACTAGCTCCTACGCTAAAGGCACTATAGATCTCACCCTTAGACCTATAAATCAATGACGTGTTTCAGGCACAAGGATCAACTACTGGCCTATAAAATATATAAGTATTGGTATTTGTTATTGTTACTAATAGAACCAAAGCCGAATATTGTTCATATCCTAATTTGTATTTTTTACATTTTGTTTAGTATTATCATTCAATTAAATATACAGATATGATACTAAAGTTTATCTATACCTTTATAAACGATTACTCAAAAGTTAATACGTAAAAGTATTTATTAAATAAATCGGTTCTTATCAGTACAAAAAATGACAGTAAACAATGTAAACACATAAAAAATATAACGTATAGCTTAATGTCCCCGTGAAAATGCTAAGGAAATTAGCATAATACATCATTCATCAGTGTCACTATCGTTTTCCGTTTGATTGTGATTCAGTAATGAGTTTTTACAAAAGAGGGTTAAATGCCGGTGTTGATTGATGAGAAGAACAAGGTGGGGTATCTTGTGAAGGTGACGTCTGCGTGACGCGAAGTCTCGTGTCATGACGCCACAGTAATCGCCGGGCGCGCGAACAGAGCACACTACACCTTTCCGATTCATGACCATGCGCAGGCGCCAAATTGTGTACACAAGATGCTGAATATGAACTGTGTTGTGCCTTTGTACGAGTGATATTTAAAAAGAGAAATAAAATGTTATACATTCAAATCTAAAGGATTTAATATTAAACGAAGTCAAAAGTCATGGCACGGTTGCCACAATAGAGATGAAACTATTCAAAAGGAGGCTGTCGTTCAGCGAAAATAAACAGAAACGCGGTCCCTGCACAGAGGATCCTTTTGAAGATGAGGTATAAACGCCCGCCGTATTCATTCTTATCGTACTTTGCAATGTTTAACAAGTTCTAGATTACAATTTACACAAATATTTAAGTACTTTCAAGAGCGTTGACCAATTTTTATTACTTCTTGTATAAACTGTAACGTTGGTAACTGAGATTAAAACAAATATTCTAGCCGTTTAATTCAGCTAGTACGTTAATGTTACAAGTAGAGGGAAATAAATTAAAGGCAAGGTTATCTTATCAAAGTACTTTGAGCATATCGTTTGGTCGTGAAATTTTCGCAAATATTTAAAATTCAGTTTCGTATTCATGCACTTACGTCATGTATCGAATGATTGATTGTAAAATGGTTTTGAACGAAATTAACTGTATTTTTACCAATACATTTAAAATACGTCAATCATATAAGTTATAAATATCATTAATATTTCTTAACGGTTGAATTTCTAGAATGTTAAGCATATTTTCTTCTTAAATTTAAAATCTAACCATGCCGCGTATTATAAAAAAATGCCCAACTATTGCTTATGAGAGTTGAAAGGATTCTAAAATTGTAATGATTAAATATTTATTATTATTACTCTGCAGTACAACATACTTGTTTTACGTTTTTCATATTTAAGCCAAGGAAGAACCAAGGCGCTAAATGCCGGTGCCGATTGAAGAATAGTTGATACTGCCCCATATTAGTAGCTGCAAAGACACCACATAATATGACAAATGTCTAGTAAGCTACTTTAATGTTAAAAATATAAATACTGAATTCTGATAGAATGCCATTATACGGTCTCTAAATATGAATAAAGAGTTGTTTTTGTAAACGTGAGCCAAGGACAAAGTAATAAACCGGACGGGGAGCAAAAACAAGGGGACTAAGAGGCAAGAACGTTTAATCAGTCGTTCTAGTGCGCACTGACCAATTGTCCTTGGCCCGATGTTTACTTTGCTCTATTACTGTGTATTTAAATGATATATGATAACGATTATCGAAAGGTAATTACGAAAGCTTATGTATTAGATAGCATAGCTACCATTGCTTTACGCGAATTGGCAAAATCTACGTTGGAATCATTAATTTTGAGGCAAATCATGTTTTTCTATCTTTTAAATCTGATAGCTTGTATATATCGAAATAGTTAGTAGTTTGATTTATTTAACTCAATCAGTAGGAAGACAATAGTTAATTATTATAATATATTATCTCTAAACCACGCTGTCAACCCACGACCACAAGATTATAGACAAGAATGAGACAATAGTATTCATCCATATTTTAATACCGATATTTAGTCGTTAAATTCAAATGCAATATAGAAAAAATGGTTCGACAATTTAGAAATAGATTTCAGTTTTAAGTTAAAGAGTAATCAATGAAGGTAAAATTTAATCTTTTTAAATAAAACCGTGTAGACTTTTGCATTTTTTTTATGTCATTCTGATCTGATTCTAAAATATCTGAAGCATCTATTATATCAAATAGACTCATGCGCAGTATATATTTCGGTTGTCTTGAATGAATGTCTTAGGCTATAAGGCGGAAGGCCATCCATTAATCTGTTATTTTAAATAAACTAAGTTGTATACTTTTATTGATTAATGTACGATAATGTTATAAAGTTATTTATATTGCCTTACAATCTGTAAGAGCAGTATAAACTCAATATTTAGTTAGGAAGCAATGGTTTTCCAGCCATACCTAAATTTAACTCGAAGTTACACCTTTGCATCCGCCTATATTATTTTACGAGTTCACAAGCTTTAGATTTTCTAGGAAACACCCTCAAGCGTCCTATACCAATATTGTGCATGACACTAAAAGTGGAGTGCCCTTCCCGGAGTTCCAAGTCACTAAAATTTGACCCTTAATATTTACGAATGTGGTTTCTAAATGTCAATTTAATATCGGGACTCTACACGACGAATTTTGGTTCTTGTTTGTTATGGCAATACACACTTGGACATGTTAAAGACAGACATTTTTATCAGATGTGATTTGCAATAAAGTCGGCGGCTTTGTGAGGTTTTTTAGATATTTTTCTTGTCTATTTGCTGTTATTGTAGCGTGTCTAGTTTATAACTTCAAATTATACTTTTATGTATAAAGAAAATTGATAAAACATGTGTCAATAATAAAACAGGGTTTGGACGTAGACGTTATTAGATAATAAAAAGAAAACCACAGAACTTACTAATACGAACAAGAGTGATTTGACATAATCGTTTTTAAAGCAATTTTTTGTTGGTACAACGGCTTTCGACTTTTTCTCATTGAAATTAGTAAAATAATATTCACTTACGCAGCTTACACGTTTATGTATGCAAACGAGCACTTGACTTGTCGAAATGTAATTAGAATTCATACTCTCACTACGACTGACAATTTCCCCAGTGATGTACAGTTTTTGCTTCTTCGCTTTAGTGCTTGAAAATACAAGTACTTTACATATTAACAATTACTAATGTACCAGATCATTATTCTTTATGAAAATGTTTTTACAGTATTACAAATTGGATTCTGATAAGTGAAAAATTTAAAAATTTCTCCATGTTTAGAGATTTCAAAAATCGAATACTCCTAAGTCAATTTTAGCGGGTGATTTTCAGAACAGGTTATGCGTGCTTTTTAGGACTTAAAATTTTGTATAGTCTGTACATATTGGAATTGCCATGGCACATTACTTGCGGGAATTACGCGTTAATGCATACACTTGAACATATTCTTATCGTTATTACTATTTTTAACTCGAAAGAGACTTTCTTCACATTAAAATGCGGAGTTGGGATGTACTGTCATCTCCTTTTAGTGGCCATGAACAAACCTATACTTATATTTATCTTTAAAATTTATAGAAATCTATACCTAAACGAACTACCAATTGCTTGTACAATAAGTTCGTAAACTGGATAATCCCATTTCTCACGGAAACGTGTCGAAAGTCGTAACGAAATGTTAAGTGTCTGAACCCACGCGTACACACACACATTCTTTGAAGATACAATCTAGCAATCGATGCACTGTTTTTAAATCTTATCTGATGTGTAATCGGCGCTATTTATGCAATAGAGATAAGCCAATTAAACCATGTTGAAGAAGTCAAGGAGTGGCGCTCATACAATTTAACTGTCTTGCCTACCTACGTCTATAATAAATATTTTATATGAAATTATTTTGAGACAGCGTCGTTGTGCCTCCAAAAAAATATCTATCGATCATTTTTGTTTCAATTTACATACTGTTGCTTCAACGGACCGCGTTTCGCGGATGCAAAAGGAACGCGAATACGGTATGCGTTATTTATAAATCGCCTATAAGCAATGATATTTCATTGCTTGAATTATTATTGAAGTTTGTAACGTGATAACATTTACAAAAACTGTATTCTTGTCATACTTAAAGCAAGTTTTACCTGTACTGTTTTCTCGTTCTGGAATTGATGCGAAATATTTTTGCACGAAACTCAATAACTGACAACCAACACGCTAAAACTGACCAGTTTGAAATTTAATACCCTTGAAATTCGAAATGAAATTCACGTGAAGTAATTTTTAATTTGATCTTAAATTTTGACAACCGTTGATATGTGCTTTCGTTATTAAGAACCTTCTACCTACAATTGATGTTGCAAGAAATAAATAATTTATGTTTAATATTAACATACAAATGCGTTTTTTTGTACGATTGATGTTTAACCACATTCTATTCGGTACCTTTGCAAGGGTTTGTTGTTTTTATTGACAATCTACTGTATATCCTGAAAAGCCAGTATATGATAACCATTCTAAACAGTGTTTTATTGCTTATAATTAAACAGGAACGCAAAAGAGAATTTAATTAAGATCTAGTTAGCTCTCGAGTGCTATTCACAATGAAACAGTGTCTTACACAGCTTGAATTTATATTTTACTTGCTACTAGAGGCTGGAAGCTTTGTCTGCAGGGAATTAGGAGAATAATCTTTATAAGGAAAATTCTTATGGCTTAGAAATATGACACACAATTTTAAAAGAGGTTAATAATCACTTAATTTAAAATGTATATTAGTTAAATATAGCAAAATGCTTTTATCCGTGTAAAATCAATGGTAAAATATTAACCATTAGTCAAAGTTAACTACTCAGTATCGGAGGGTTAAAAAGATGCTTTTTTACTAGCTGTTTGTCACAAAATACTTATAAATAGTTTATTACTATCTAATATAATTTAAACATATTGAGATACTTTAATTATAGAGATGGAAGACGATATATTATTAAATTGTTAATATATTTTATGTCATCCCTTAAAACCTGATGATGTAGATTTTTGTCACTTTACCCCCTATCGAAGGGAAAGTCTCTATTGTTACTAAATTGGAATGATCTTAATCAATAACAAGAGTATATATAGACAGCAGCTCATACCAACCTTTTTGCTTCATTACTAACTACAGAACCGCAGCAGTATATAATTAAGTATATTACTAATTCATTATGTGTTTTATTGCCTATAATATTAACTTATAATTATTATAAGTTAATAATAATATTATTGTATTGCCTATAAAGGCAATAGAATACATAATGAATTAGAGTTAATATTATTTATATATTACTAATAATATTAACTTATAATTATTATAAGTACATACAAGTATGTACTTATACTAAAAACTACACTACACATTAGTTAGGGACCTATGATATTCTTTAGGGCTTTTATTACATTTGTGAGTTAGCATCTATCTACTTTATTACAAGAATTTATAAATAAAACATTTGACTTGATTAATAAACTGTTTAATTATAACTTAAATACAAACCATTTTTATTAAAAAACATTACAAAATTTACATGAAACCCTAAAGTAGCAATTAAATATTTTCTAATTGTTTCTTCTTGCATTTCACCTCAATTTGATGCAACTCTTTTTGCTGCTACATATATTTATTGTGCTCTTTCTTCCATCTGCTGCATCACTTTTGGGTGCACCTCCTCTTTATGCAGTATGAATTTTTGGTGGGCCTCTCATTGGTGCAGCAAATGTTTTTGATGCTCTTCTTAAGCATAATTGAACAAATCATCCTCTCTTATTTGTCTTTGTTTCTAAACTCAATTTTTTTATCCGTGTGGATCATAATCCGCTTCCTTGTTTCCAAAGGGTTAAAAAGATTTTTTCCTTTTTGTTGTAGGACACAGCTATACAAGAATAAATATAAAAATGTGCCTACACCTTCATTAAATGTATATTAAATTTAACACTTCGGTGTCTAGACCCATCTGAGTTGAAAACGTCACAGAGATTTCAAGCTGCTCTTTTTGTAGATTGCTGCAGTGATCAGTTGTTTGCAGGTTACGACTGTGTAATCCTTGAGAAGCATCACCAGTTTGGCAGTTTCTTTTTGGCGAAGTTAGCAGTATGGTCCCTTTAACAAAACATAAATGTATTACTTTCTATTACGAAACACAAGATAAACCGGAATAAATAACACGAAAATATGTTTGAACTTACTTATTTGACCGTTGGCTGTTTGCGGACATCGTTATTTATATATTTAAGTATCGTAAAAGTGTAAACCGTATTAAATCACAGAAAAACAACTTTATTTATATCGTGTTATTTAGATTAATTTGACACTTCAAACTCTTCAAAGCGCAAATAACGAATGAAGATGGCAAAAATGGATTTCATTCACTCAATATGTCTAGTGTTGTCATACAAAATAAATGATCCCCACAAAAAAGAACCACTTTTTGGGATGTCATTGCTCATTGCACTGGCAACAAATTGACAAATTGTTAACTTTAACTATAGTTAAAAAGGCATTGAAAAACGCATTTCGATTTTACCAATGGTTATTCATTTAACTATAGTTAATGTAACAAATGGTAAAACCATTTTTTACTACGGATCAAAAAACTGGCCCTTAATCAAACACCGAGCGATGAAAACTTTAATTATAATATCAATCAGAGATACAAATTAATATTTATAAGATTTATTCTATACTTTTAAATGTTATATAATGATATATTTTCTAATATATAAGAGGAATATCTAGGACAAGCGATATATTTTAATTTTCATAACATTCAAATGAATATTTTATAATGATATGTAAAGAAGGTTCATGTTTTTATAAAATTGGTGATAGTTCAATTGTCAATGAAAATAAAGAGTTTTTGATTTATGCTAGTGGCATTCGAAGCGCCATTTGAGAATCTATTTATCATATAACGCATGTCAGTATTACAAAGATGTTCCATCTAGTGTCAGAACGTGACAAGGAAATTAAAATCGCCTTGGTCTAGCTTTAGAGTCGTGTAGAACTCATGGCCGCTAGCCAGATCTTATATTCCTAGTACAAACGTAGCGTGCCTAAAATCCTAACAATAACATTCATTATCATAACAGAGAGAGTTCCTTGTGAGGTATTCGCACATTGCCAAAGTACATTCCATTTTTGTATCTGATAGACATAATTGTAAGATTTTGTTTGACTTTTTCATACCTATCTATTACAATGTTTCGTAATTTACCTTACTAAGCATTTAAAGGGTTATTAATGGTATTAATTGATTTATTGAAGTTTACCACATCATACGTATTATGTATTTACAGAGTATGTTACAATCTTTTCTAAAATATATGACAACTTTTGTTAACAAAATGTTGCAAAAAAGAAAGAAAAAATTAAAAAACAATAATAAGATATATAAAATAAAATAAAACTAGTAATTTTCGCTATCCCACGGATATAAGTTATTCCTACCATACTCCAGACTAGCTACACATTCTTAAATATTTTACTCTTGGTTTATAGGACAAAGCTAGATTCTCGGACACGAGTTGGCAAATACATCGAACGTGGACACGAAACGGGGACCCAATACCTCGATCGCCACAAACTGCGCGTGCGCTGACGAAACAAACACCGACCGCCTCACCTGACGTACGACAAGACGACCAGAATGGAATCTATGACACCATCACCGTGAGAGATAAGGTACCATAAAATAGCTAAATATTTATAAATTCCGCTTCTTTTGAAGTTATACTTCTTTAGGCGCGTTATGAAAACATGATGATAGTGAAATTTTACGATGCACAAAATTAACAGAATTAAGTTTCCCACGGAAGATGCTACGGCATTGGACATAATTTAAAAACAACATTCGAATAATAATATAATTTATGTTACACTTAATGTAAGAGAATAATAATAAATATTTATTTATTTAATTTTTCAAATATAAACTGAACTTTATTGATTTTAATGACTCCTTTTCCAGTCTTTGATTATTTAATTGTAATTAATTATTTGCATGCAATCAAAAACTATTTCTAATAATGCCAAAGAAGTATAACTTCTTACGCGCGTACACGCACCGCTTTTTTTGAATAGTTGAATAGATTTGTGTAGTTCTTGCCGCTTTTTTAATAGGTAAGTTAATAAGCTACCTGCCTTTTCGTTAATACCTGGTACAAAACCAGGAGGTACTAGAGAAGGGACTAGTGAAAAGTACCCGTAACCGAGCATGCATAGCGAATGTCATGAAAGTGGATGAAGCTATTGGAGATCTACCCCTTCGGGAATAGGCGTGATAATATAAATAAATAAATTAGCTGCCTCTTTAACGTCTTCTAAAAGTCTTTTACATAAAACCTCTTAATTATATTCTTTCCATCTGTTCAATCGTGACTTTTAATTATACTACTTTATTTTGCAATTGTGAATATTTTTATTTGATTTTAGATCCTTGAATTAATTTTGATTCATGGCTCTAAAGATTACCAATAAATTTTTGTTTTAGTTTTGTAATTCTATAAGTCTACGTAGCTATTTGTAATATTTGTTAATTAATTATGCACTAAACCCTTAGTATTTCCTTTTTCTTTATTTACTTTATTAGGTTGCCTGGAAGAGCGGTGTTACCGATGATTGATGATGACCGTAATATTTTATGTTATTTGATTGTATATATACTATAAATGGATTATGGAACAAAGGGTTAATAAATAAATACTTAGATTTTTGACATATATAAAAGAGTTGAATAGAAATGTAAAGCCTTTCATAAAGCTTCAACCTGTACAAGCGTTTATACCATATGTAACATACATCCTACTCGAAATCACGACATACAATTAAGTAGGCAGGATCCCGCACGTCAAAGCTACGATTCTAGCATACAACTAAATTCTAATTAGTGAAACCTACTATTATTAAGAGTGAAATCGTTAGAAACCTCTCAGATGATGTATTATGACAATTCCGCAAATAAATCCTTCGGCTTTGGATCTTGAAGTATATCGTTATTTATGGGTACGTACAATCGTAAATGACGTTTAATTGAGGAAGTTTCTAAAAGACCGATGTTTAATAATATTAAGCATAGTATGGTTACCGTTATATCGTAGTATGTGTGGTTTACTTTTACTTAAACTAAATTGAATACCTTTAAACTCTAGTCGGTCACTTATTTAGAATGGACGTGGTCCATTTTAGTAATCATAATCAAATTTAGTTATACACGTCTCAAATAATGAATCTTTTAAGCCACTCTAAAATAATTAAATGTCGCAAAAACCATATAAAATAGTCTCAAAAAATGATTTTAGTACCATCGCAATGTGGTTAACCTTAGGAACCCAGGTATAGATTTACGTTAACCGATCGTAAATCATAATCGAGTGGTCCACGGTACTTGCAAGATATGCACTTCCCGCTGTTTCCAATGTTCCTTTGTAGGGCTAGTGACTCGACCTTAGGTTATTGCACTTAGGATATGTTTTCTTAGAGAATAAGATAAAGGGACAGTGCCAGGTACTCTGCAATGTGTAGGAAACAAATATATCCACCAGAGTAGTGCGTAGGACACGTATCTAAGACTCACTGATTCGTGTTATATAAATACAAAATATGTGATGGCAGACCAACAGTATAAATAGTCGTTTAAAGCAAAAACGATTGTTATTGCAAAGACAATTAATTGTATTGGAAAGATGCATTTTTTGTAAAACTTCCTATATTATCTTTACAATTCGTTACATGATTTTATGAAACATTCATAATTATGTTAACAGAACCATGACGTCATTTGTTTGTACGCAAGTGATTTTATAATGCAACAAAGGTGATAATATCCTACTAATGATATGCCTAGGTTCGTGCATCGCATATTAATTTTGTTAAACCGCACTAGATACCTATTTCATATTTACATTGAATACAATACAATGTGTTTAATACCAATGTTTACTGGAAGATTTAAGACAGTTAAACACAAATAAGTTCATTTGTATACATTACATTATTATACGTTTCTGTAGAGCGAATTGACGCGCGTTACTATTTCAATTAATTCAGAAAAAAAATATCTATAAACATATTGTGTTATCAAAGATCAATTGACAACGAATCCAAATAAAAAAACTAGTACTCCGGTTTAATCTAATTCTTATTAGCTGTTGTTCTTATAAAATTCTCTCGTGTACGAGTGGTTAAACAAAAAACGATCGTTGGCAATTTACCACGCGCTGATTGCTATCATTCCAAACAATTTAATTCACCAATGGAGTCCGTGTTAAGTGAATCATTTATTTTTAGTCGCAAGATAATTATGAACACCGATTTTAAGTGCTTTGTTTGATAACCGCAATTTATGATATGAAGAAAATAATTTCTTTATAATATAAGATAAAAAGCGTGTTGTTTACGTTAAGTTACATAAACTTCAGATTCAAAACGAAACCATATCAGAAACATTTAAAGACTGTCGGAAATAAGGCAAAAACGTAAAAATAATTTATTGTAAGCAATAAATATACCTAAACTAAGGTTTATATATATATATATATAATGAGCAGTGTTGACTTAGTGGCTTCAGCGTGCGACTCTCATCCCTGAGGTCGTAGGTCCGATCCCCTTCTGTGTACCAATGGACTTTCTTTCTATGTGCGCATTTAACATTCGCTCAAACGGTGAAGGAAAGCATCGTAAGGAAACCGACATGTCTTAGACCCAAAAATCCACGGCGTGTGTCAGGCACTGGAGGCTTTAAAAATGATTATGAAACAGATTCAGAAATCTGAGGCCCAGACCTAAAGAGGTAGCGCCACTGATTATGTTATATATATATTTACCGCTAGATATCATAAACGATATTACGTAGTAATACGAGTAATAACAAATATTTATTTGTAGCACACAACAAGAAAACAAACATTAAAAAGTAATTAAAAGTTTAAGAATAGTTATTACAGTCTAATCACTTAAAATCTTGAGTTTTACGGAGCAATTGTATTATCTATATACTCGCATATGAGTTTACCTCATCAGTTGTCCAAAAAATGCATTCACCGTTTTAATATAGATCAAATGCGGAAATATGTTCAAAAACCACGCCACGGGATTTCCATAATTTAGTGTTGTGTTTTACATACATATGTGATAACATACATTATTATTCTTTGATGTGTTTGTTGAGTACTTCTGAGATGAAATCGAAATGAGTATTGATATTAGAATTTAATGATCAAACCACTAACGCCGGATGATCTCATAGTTTACGTCAAACATAACGAGAATCAACGCCTAATCAGGGATGCCTAAATGATTTGATATTTTCTAATAATGATAATAACTTGTTAATCAACTCAGGTTTCCTTCAAACTTGTTAATTTGTTCAGAATCATTCAAACCGAGGTGGTGACAGCGTTCAGGGATCATCATGTTTAAATAATTAATTTTATATCAATTATTAGTAACATTCTGATGAGGTGAATTACTAAATGTGTAATTTTTTTTAAAACTTAAAAAACCCTTTTTCCACAATTTTTTTTTTTTTCCCCCTCATACATATATTAATTTTACACAGCTGTAGTTGGCCAAGCGGCATTAATATACTTGTAAAGCGAGTTTGGCCAAGCGCCTCGGTGTGCGACCCTATCCCTAGGTTACAGGTTCGATACCCGGTGTGCACCTATGGACTTTCTGTGTATGTGCGCAATTAACGAGTGAATACTCGAACGGTGAACGAAAACATCGTTAGGAAACAGACTTGCTTTAGACCCAAAAAGTCGACGGCGTGTTTCAGGCAAAAGAGGCTAGTTAATTGATAAAGAGATTGCCTAGTTGCCAATTAGATTGACAAATGATCATGAAACAGATACAGAAATCTGAGGCCCAGACTGAAAAAGGTTTTTAGCGCCACTGGTTTTATATTGTACTTTAAATATAAATAAAGTCGCAGTAATACGAATAAAATGAATAAAAGATGCGTAGAAGAGTTTATTTCGCTGTCTGGGGCCGTACTTGAATAATTTAAGACCTAGCTGAAGGTCAAAGGTAAATTATATTAATGCAGATAGAATACATAAGTCGTACAAATGTACGTAAGTATTAGAGTAGGTACTTTCTTATGGTAGGTAATATACAAATTGCTTTAGAGCCTGGCATAAATATAAAATAATTTTGTAGTGTGAACATTAGTCTTTATAGAAATTATGATTAAATTTATAGGCCTTTGAAATGGTAGTTTAAACAGTAATTGTATATCATAAGTTTCTTAAAGTATTGTCTTTTTCTCTTGCGCTATATACAAAAAAAAAACTTAAGTTTAATTAACAAAGAATTTATAATAATTTGTATAGAAAATTCTCCTGTTTTCAGTTTATAGATATGCGCTTGACCTTTTGAGGTTTATAGTTAATAGTTAAGTAACAATTTTATTCTAAATAACAAGTATTGCAACAAGTCTTTAGAATTGAAACGCTATCAAGGTTTGCCGTCAAGGCTAAGTAGGCAGATTCAATATATTTACACATTCATTAAATAGGAATGATCTCATTCTTATAATCCGCTTTTGTGGAATAAATTACAAGATAAAACTCTAGTAGACCTGTTTCTATAGATTTCAATTTGAGGGCGTTGTTTTGATTCTTGTTTCAAAATCTTTATGTTTCACTCATTTAAGATATTTTATTTCTTACTGTTAGACAATTACCTTCAAG